ACGAAGAAGAAATGTGTGTCATGCGTCCCCCGCTGTAAATAGTTCACATGTAGTCGTTAGTACATCGAGTTCTACATGTAGTCACACGCGACGCCGCTCAGCCCTTCATCTTGAGCAGAGCATCCCTCCCACGACACCGGCGAAATGGAGCTCGCTTTCCAGGCGATTTAAATCCTCTCTCTCGCGCACTCTTTTTTTTGGGGGAAATAATGTGGATTCCAACGGAAGATGAAAAATTCGGAGTCGGTGAGTAACACACCCGCGCGCTTCTCTCCGTCATATTTATTGACATGGAATGACACGTAGCTCTTCCCTATGCAACAATTTGCTCTTCCTTCAAGAAGTGTCTGGCGCGAGCTGATCAACACTAACGGCTCGTCTGATAACCGAGTTAACAATTTGATTTGTTTAATAATGCTCAAATAATCTCCAATATATATATATATAATTTATTTTTACAGATAACAACCCGTTTCTGAGAAGTGACCGGAGCTATGACGTGGACTAATTAGGCTGTTTTCGGTGACTGTTTATATAGAAAATATAAAACGTTATGGAATGCGGACTTAGATAAAATAAATAAATAAATAAATCCTTTATTTTTCCTTCCCACACAAACGTCGTACACGACTATTATAATCTTATTCACGCAGTAGCATGGCATGAGAAATGTCTTCCTGTCGCCGCAGAGGGGCGCTGCATGCTCGCGCGCGGTCTAACAGGTGCGCGCGCCACTTTACGCTCCTGACGCAACGTTCTTTAGCAACTACTGTACGTTCCTCACGCGCGTTCACTGTATTCAACAGTATGGCCGAAGATCTCAACCACGTCCGCCAGCCAGTTTCTTCACAATGAATCTCGTCTGTAAGACAAGCTGTAGCAAACTGGGCTATACTAGATATACACTACTGGAGTTAATGGCAACCCTGCGGGGAAAAATAAAACAATAAATAAAATAAAATAAAATAAATAAAAACCCAGCTTTCTAGGAAAGGCTACAAACATCCAAAACACCAGCTGAGCTGGTCAAGCTTGTACACTGTCTTTACCAGCTGGTAGAAAGGAAACTATTTCTGAATGACGGCTACGGCTTTAATATAATAACCTAACGGTAAGGCAGCTAGTAAAATCTCAAACATAAAAAATAAAAATAAATCAGCTTGGTCAAGGAAGAAGGGAACTGGAAAAATAATTTACCAGCTGGAAACGATGGCCTTCCTGACCAGTTGTGTGTTCTGGGAGCTGGTCAGCCCTAGGTGTATATATCAACAACTCGTTCATTCATCCTGTAATACTCAACTGCTATGGATCCAGAGCTGCTTCTGGGAATACTGGTTGTGAATACATCCTGGACAGGAACGCCAGTCCATTGCAGGGCATCACAAACACACACACACACACAAACACATACTTTCACACACTCATTCACACCTATTTAGCATAGCCTATCGACCTCTCAGCATGTTTTTAGACAATGGGAGGAAACCAAATATCGGTTGATTGTGAGTGCATGTTGTTGTTATTATTATGATTATTATTATTATTATTATTATCAACTAGAAATGATGTTTGTTGCTTATTCTTTTTAATCAGAGGCATCACAGCAGGGGAAATAGTGAAACTTATTGTCCAGGGCTCCTAGTTGGAGATTCCCCTTAAGAGGGACCCACAGAGACTGCAATTTTCCAGGGACCAGAAATTTGATCACGCTTCCCAAATGTGTCCATCTTCATGGTTGTGCTAGTTTAATAGATGTCGTTATGCACTTTTATGACCTTAGAGGTTGGACAGTACTCCTACAGTCTTCCAACAACCAGAGACCTCTGCAAGTGTACAAATTGTGCGCAATTATAACGGAAGTGCGGTGCTATAGTGCAGCGTAACTAACAACATTGGGCTAATGGCATTTGGGATTCGAATCAGAGAATTACATGTGTGGATTATTAGTGCTCATTATAAATCAGTAAAATTGGAAGTATCCTATTGTGTTACTGTCAAAGTACTATGTTCTGAAACATATATTTCAATAATTGTAATATTATAGTAAAGATTATTTGATTATACACTGATATGTGTATTGCCAATCTAAATAGTACTATCAAAAAATATAATCAATGCAAAAGTAAATGGATAAATGTAGGTGCAAGTCTGGAAATAGCTTCATCTTTAAAGTATTAACGTACATATCTTAGATATGTTACACATCATCTCGTACATGTCATCATGTCTTTTTTTTTCATCCACCTAAACAGGACATATCACGTTCCCTTTTATCTACTTATAGTGTGCGCGTTGTGTGTGTGTGTGTGTGTGTGTGTGTGTGAAGGTGCATTGTGTAAATGGTAGACTGCACACTTGCTACTGTAGGCTACCAGACACTTCTACAGTGTGTGTTATCAGATTCCCCATTCTAATAACAATTTCACATCATCCTCACAAGACATGGACCTAGATTACAGCCAGTTTACTTAAATGTAAGCAGCACATGATGGCCAGCAAAATCATTTTTTTTCACAGCTGAAGCCATTGTTTATGGGAAGAGCAGTGCTTTCTTGGGTGTTGTGCACCGCTTGTCTTTTACGATGTGCACAGAAGTGTCACTCACATTCAACTTTATTACTACAACAACTGAGATCACGTGTATGAGACGTAGCAAGAAGCGATTTTCTAACCTAAACAAAACTAATATTGATTTCGACAAATGCAAGGGTGTTTATTTCAGTAGTATGAAGAAAAACAATCAATGTGGAAATTAGTGGAAATATTTCAGACTGGAGCCTTGTGCCCGATGGTCCCTGGCATAGGCTCCAGGTTCCCTGTGACCCTGAAAAGGATAAGCGGAAGAAGATGGATGGATGGTTGGATTTCAGTCTGGATATAACCAGAGTTTGTAAGATAATTTGAGCTGATCTTGTATTCAGGTTGTTTTCTTTTGTTGTGTGAAAGGAGTGGTTTGCAGGATCTGGTGGTTGTGGTGATTGAATTTAAGAAGTCTAAAATCATACCGTGATTCTTAGCCATGTGTGCTGGATTGTGTTGGTGTGTATGGAGATCGAGGTGTTCAGGATGGTGGAGTTCCCAGTGGGCAGGTGAATACATATCGTGGAGGGCCGTCCTCCAGGAAATGATGCCAGAAAGTCTGATATTAGTTCAGTATTTTTATGACTTTTGTTATTTTAAACCATTCTTTTTATGCTGGTAATTGTGATATTATGGTTATGAATGTTATTGGAGATACAAAATGTGTTGCAACACCTTAACTAGAGTGTGTGTGTGTGTGTGTGGGGGAGTAATGTTTTCTGTTTTCGTGCTGCGGGGTATGTAAAGTGGTAGCATCTGTCTCCTGTCATACCTCAGCTTCTCAGCTCAGCAAAACAGAGATGTGTAAAAACAAACAAACAAAAAAACCCCAAAATGAGAGCTCAGTATAATTTCATCACAGAGATGTTATGAAAGCTAATACAGTGGTAGAGGGAAAGCGGTGGTGTTGTATCAGAACAACAGGGGTTTGCAGCAGGAATAAACGTCTATTGTTCATTCATCCAGTGTTATTATGTTCCATTGGCCCATGTATATTTATATAAGCAAAGCGTGTGTTGATTTCAATTATCCTACCAAGCTAGGTTACAGTGCTCTTCAGAATTATCTGTCCCTTGAAACAAATTATTATTATAATAATTATATTTATATATTAAAATATTTTCTCTCAAAAAATATGTAGCCAAATTTATTCACAGCCCTAGGAATATTTCAAATAAATTCATACAGTTATAATTGTAAAAAGAATGATACTTTTAAACAGCAGGAAGGAAGTCTGTTGTTGACTTTGACCACTTTCTTTTTCCATGGGGTACACTTATCAGGATGCACACATTTAACAAAAAAAGAAAAACAAACAACAACAAATGTTTTCCATTATCATGGGGCAAAACAAAGAGATGGATGGTTGTGGACCACAACTCATACATAAGCAATTAAAAACCCCATTAAGCACATTGTATCAGGGTCATAATATGAAAATGTTTTTCCTACCAAACCTATTATTTTTTATTGAAAAAGCACAGATGAAACCATATTGAAACTTTAGCAAATTAAATGGTAAATGGTGCGTTTATAGAGCGTTTTTATCCAAAGCGCTTTACACTGTGTCTCATTCACCCATTCACACACACACACACACACTCACCCACCAGTGGTAGCACAGCTGCCATGCAAGGCGCTAACTTGCCATTGGGAGCAACTTGGGGTTCAGTGTCTTGCCCAAGGACACTTCGGCACGTGGAGTCACCCGGGCCGGGAATCAAACCGCCAACCCTACGATTAGAGGACAATCCACTCTACCACCTCAGCCACAGCCGACCAGTTAACTAGATATCTGACTATGCACAGTTACAGTTTACTGTTACTATAATGTTTAAATGGTCCAATAGTACGTTTTGGAAGTATACATGTATATATCATCATATCATTTTTCCATTCAGAGTAGTAACCATGCATATTCTGTCAAGAATGTAAATGATGATAAAAATGGCTGCTTCGCACTTTCCCACTGTTCAAAATCCTCTGGATATTCTGCTAGAAATTCAGAGTTCTGGTGTTAATAGCCACCGGGACGCAAGAGTATTATTATAAAGAGAAGAGGTGTGGATATTTTATTATGATGAGGGTCTAATATTGCCCAAACAAAGCATTAGGATGATAGACTATAGCAACAGAGCTAATTAGTTAACTGTTACTCAAAAGCTTAACAAAGGATGCCGTAAAACTGGACATCAGCATTGTCAGGTGAAAAAAATATTGAATTGTTACACTTTATGGCGAAAATGATCTGAACACTTTAGTACTGAACATCCCATTTTAAAGCCATGGGCATTAATATTGATTGAGTTGTTCCCCCTTTGCTGCTATAATAGCCTCCAACTCTTCAGGGAAGGCTTCCAACTCATCCCAAAAGCGTGAGGTCGAGTGTTCAATCCCCTGGCATCTCTACAATGTTTAGGGCAGTGGTGGTTCAGTGGTTAAGGCACTGGGTTACTGATCCGAAGGTTGGGGATTTAAGCCCCACCACTGCCAATCAGCCACTGTGAGGCCTTTGAGTAAGGCCCTTAAGTCTACCTGCTCCAGATGCACTATATCATGATGTGCAGGTTCACCCTGCACTCTGATCTGAACTTATAGGAAGCCAGGATATGCAAAGAGAGGAATTTCACTGTACTGTAATGTATATGTGACGAATAAAGGCTTTCTATTCAGTGGGTTTGAGATCAGGGCTCTGTTCAGGCCACTCAAATTCTTCCAGTACGTCTTGTAAACCATGTCTGTTTGGCCCTCACTTTGTGCACACTCACTCATACTAAATCATGTTTGAGCTCTAAACATGAACCATGCTTAATCCTACAGCATACAAAGACAGTTGTGCATACCTAAATTTGTGGCAACACTTTAGGGAAGACCCACATATAGGTTTGATCGCCAGGTGTCTTTTGACCATATTAACTATGCAAAGTGTAATTGTGCACTCATTTAAAAATGAAATGTAGCGATCTGGGCTGTATTTCCCATAATGGATTCCAGTGGCATGACTAAAGTATGCTAAAACAGTATAAAAGTTTGGCACCCTTAAAATCCGTCATAAATAACATATGGCAACTAATTCACAAAAACATGATCAAATGATTCACTGAATTAATAAGTCAGCTAAATTTGAGTTGCTGGAACCTTCCTTACTCTTAGCTAATGTTACCATGTTATGGAAAAGCATATCGCTGTTCATTACGTATAGGATTATTACTATGACATTTATCTTCAGTTATCCTGGTCAGGGTCGTGGAGGATCCAGAGCCGATGCTGAGAACACTGGCTGTGAAGCAGAAATATACCCTGGATAGGGATTCCAGTCCATATATACACACATTCATTCACACCTAACAGCAATTCGGCAATCCAGCTGAAGGTATGTTTTTGGGAAGATTTTTGAGAGGAAGCATGGGGAAAGCTCCATACAGTCCAGAGATCATTGAGTGCAACACTGCACCACCATGCCACCCTTTTACTATAACAATAAATGGGAACATGGGGTGCCAACCCATCGCAGGTCACACACACACACACACACACATTTACATACTACAGGCAATTTGGAAATGCCAGTCAGCCTACAACGCATTTCTTTGGACTAGGGGAGGGAACAGGAGTACCTGGAGGAAACTTCTGAACCACAGGGAGAACATGCAAACTCCGCACACACCGGGCGGAGGCGGGAATCAAACCTCCAACCCCGGAGGTGCGAGACAAACGTACTATCCACTAAGCCACCGTGCCCAAATGGAAAAATCTGTTTCACCCAATCATTGTTTGTAATAGGTTTTTTTTTTTTTATCCATATACATTATAACCGATATACAGGTGCATTTTGAAAATTTAGAATATCGTGAAAAAGTAATTTTTCCACACTAAATTTTATAAATTTAATTTAAAACATGGAACTTTCATATATTCTAGATTCATTACACATAAAGTGAAATATTTCAAGACTTTTTTTTTGTTTTAGTCTTGATTACGGCTTATCGCTCACGGAAATCAAAAATCCAGTATTTCAAAATATTAGAATAAAGAATTTATAATACAGAGATGTCGAATTTCTGAAAAGTATGTTCATTTATGTTAAGTAATTCCTTTTGCACGAATTACTGCATCAATGTGGCGTGGCATGGAGGCAGTCAGCCTGTGGCACTGCTGAGGTATTATGGACGCCCAGGTTGCTTTGATAGCGGCCTTCAGCTCGTCTGTATTGTTGGGTCTCATAGATTCTCTATGGGGTTCAGGTCAGGTGAGTTGGCTGGCCAATCAAGCACAGTAATACCATGGTCAGCAAACCAATTACTAGTAGTTTTGGCACTGTGGGCAGATGCCAAGTTCTGCTGGAAAAGGAAATCAGCATCTCCATAAAGCTCGTCAGCAGATGGAAGCTTGAAGTGCTCTAAAATCTCCTGGTAGACACTGCATTGACTCTCGACTTGAGAACACAGTGGACCAACACCAGCAGATGACATGACACCTCAAATCATCACTGACTGTGGAAACTTCACACTGGACTTCAAACAACTTGGATTCTGTGCCTCTTCACTCCTCCTCCAGACTCTGGGACCTTGTTTTATGCAAAATTTGTAATCCACATGTAATGCAAAAAGAGACTGAGAGGTTCAGGAAACCTTCGCAAGTGTTTTGAGTCGACATTTCTGTATTAGAAATTCTTTATTCTAATATTTTGAGATACTGGAATTCCGATCTAAATTTCGATCTAAATTTCTTCAAGATTAAAACCAAAAAAATACTTGAAATATTTTACTTTATGTGTAATGAATCTAGAATATACAGTGGTGTGAAAAAGTGTTTGCCCCCTTCCTCATTTCCTGTTCCTTTGCATGTTTGTCCCACTTAAGTGTTTCGGAACATCAAACCAATTTAAACAATAGTCAAGGACAACACAAGTAAACACAAAATGCAATTTGTAAATGAAGGTGTTTATTATTAAAGGTGAAAAAAATCCAAACCATACGGCCCCTGTGTAAAAAGTGATTCCCCCTAAACCTAATAACTGGTTGGGGGCCCCCCTTAGCAGCAACAACTGCAACCAAGCGTTTGCGATAACGTGCAATGAGGCTTTTACAGCGTCCTGGAGGAATTTTGGCCCACTCATCTTTGCAGAATTGTCCTAATTCAGTTACATTAGAGGGTTTTCGAGCATGAACGGCCTTTTTAGGGTCATACCACAACATCTCAATAGGATTCAGGTCAGGACTTTGGCTAGAGCCACTCCAAAGTCTTCATTTTGTTTTTCTTCAGCCATTCGGTGGTGGACTTGCTGGTGTGTTAAGATCATTGTCCTGCTGCAGAACCCAAGTTCGTTTCAGCTTGAGTGCACGAACAGATGGTCGGACATTCTCCTTCAGGATCTCTTGGTAGACAGCAGAATTCATAGTTCCTTTTATCACGGCAAGTCTTCCAGGTCCTGAAGCAGCAAAACAGCCCCAGACCATCACACTACCACCACCATATTTTACTGTTGGTATAATGTTCTTTTATGAAATGCAGTGCTCCTTCTACGCCAGAGATACTTGGACACACACCTTCCAAAGAGTTCCACTTTTGTCTCATCGGTCCACAGAATGTTGTCCCAAAAGTCTTGGGGATCATCAAGATGTGTTGTGGAGAAATTGAGACGAGCTTTGATGTTATTTTTGCTCAGCAGTGGTTTTCTCCTTGGAACTCTGCCATACGAGCCATTTTTGCCCAGTCTTTTCCGTGGTGGAGGCATGAACGCTGACCTTAACTGAGGCAAGTGAGGCCTGCAGTTCTTTGGACGTTGTTGTGGGGTCTTTTGTGACCTCTTGGATGAGTCGTCGCTGCGCTCTTGGGGTAATTTTGGCGGCCGGCCACTCCTGGGAAGGTTCATCACTGTTCCATGTCTTCGCCATTTGTGGATAATGGCTCTCACTGTGGTTCGCTGGATTCCCAAAGCTTTGGAAATGGCTTTATAACCCTTTCCAGACTGATAGATCTCAATTACTTTCTTTCTCAATTGTTCCTGAATTTCTTTGGGTCTCGGCATGATGTGTAGCTTTTAAGGATCTTCTGGTGGACCTTACTGTGTCAAGCAGCTCCTATTTAAGTGATGCCTTGATTGTAAACAGGTGTGGCAATAATCAGGCCTGGGTGTGGCTAGAGAAATTGAACTCAGGTGTGGACAACCACAGTTATAGTATGTTTTAACAAGGGGGGCAATCACTTTTTCACACAGGGCAATGATGGTTCGGATTTTTTTTCACCTTTAATAATAAACACCTTCATTTACAAATTGCATTTTGTGTTTACTTGTGTTGTCCTTGACTATTGTTTAAATTGTTTTGATGTTCCGAAACACTTAAGTGGGACAAACATGCAAAGGAACAGGAAATGAGGAAGGGGGCAAACACTTTTTCACACCACTGTATGATGATTCCAATTTTTGAATTAAATTACAGAGAAAAAAAAATAACTTTTCCATGAACTTTTTTGAGATGCACCTGTACAATAAAACATTTTCTCAAGTGTTCCTTTAATTATTACTTGAGGGTATGACTATATGAATCTTTACAGAACATTGCACTACAGCTATTTAAAAAAGAAAGTAAACGCTATGGGGGCGCACGGTGGCTTAGTGGTTGGCACGTTCGCCTCACACCTCCAGGGTCCGGGGTCCGATTCCCGCCGGGGCCATGTGTGTGCGGAGTTTGCATGTTCTCCCCGTGTTGTGGGGGTTTCCTCCGGGTACTCCGGTTTGGTTTCCTCCCCAGTCCAGAGACATTCATGGGAACCTTGTAAATTGTCCGTAGTGTATGAATGGGTGTGTATGTGATTGTGCCCCGCGATGGACTGGCACCCTGTCTAGGGTGTACCCCGCCTTGTGCCCGATGCTTCCTGGGTTAGGCTCCAGGTTTCCCGTGACCCTGAAGCAGGAATAAGCGGTTGAAGATGGATGGATGGTAAATGCTATGTGAAGATGTTATAAAATAAATACAGTATATAGTCTAGTGAATTAAGATTTAACAATATGTAGTCATTTCGAAGTACTGTGGATTTTCCACAACGGTGTTTACATAGTGATTTTCTGGAGCTCTGAACAGTTAGTTATAATTCCTTAATATTACAATGCCTTAATATTTTACAAAAGTCTGTGACTACATAATTTAATATCTTACTGGTTGAGCATATGTCTTGTATCAAGACCAAATGATTACTGCATATGCAGAACAGGTTAGAAACTAGATAATACCAGCTGAACATCAGGACTATAACACAATGAAACTCCTAAAAGACCTAGACCTTTAGTAGAGTTTCTGTATTGTGAGGTAATTGCAAGTTAAGACTTTACTATGCAATGTAGAAGCCATACGTCAACACTGTCCAGAAGCGCCACCGACTTCTCTGGGCTCAGTCTCTGGGCTCAGTCTCATCTGAGATGGACTTTAGCATAGTGGAATCGTGTTTTGTGGTCTGACAAGTCAATATTTCAAATAGTTTTGGACAAAAC